GTTTTCATTTGTTCAGGTGAAGACACAACAACAACAACCACTGAGGACACAAAAGCAGGAGACACAACGACAACAATCAGAGAAGCTTCAGCAGAACCACAAAGTAGAGACTCTACATGTTTGTGTCTTTATGTAGAATCTCTCTTCCTCTCAGTATTTTCATCCACTCACATTTAATGATTTAATACATTTGTTTTCAGTGGTCTCTTTTTATTTAAATTCTTTGAGACAAAAAATAAATTTTCTCTGTAGTTTAAGACTTGAATGTTCATAAATGTCTTTTTACAGCTTTTCTGGTGAGTTTTACCAAACAAACAAGTTTTTTATGTAACTAAATATGAGTAAAGTAGATATTTAAGTCTACTAAATGCACATAAATATGTGTGTGTGATTGTCGTTGCAGGCGGGTGGAGGCTCGTCTCTGTGTCCGTTGGATTAGCAGCACTCATAATAATACTTGTAGTCGTCAACATGTGGATTAGAATTAAAGGTGAAGAAGCTGAAGACATTTTGATGAGAGACGTCTTTTGCTGGTGAAACTAAAGCGACTCTTTCTTTTGTCTCCAGAGAGGAAAACACAGACGGAAGAAAACGCTGTGAGTCTTTAACAAGTTAACAATGAAACGCTTCATCACTTCATGACGTTCTTATCTGCAGTATTTCTTCACTCCAACACGAGTCGCTTTAGAGCTTCTAGCAGCTAACGGTGCTAACGGCCCACCAATGCTAGCAGAGCTAACACTTAGCGACTGAGCTCACAGTGTCCACATGAGGGGGAACCGCAGGGTGGATGCTACATGGAGGGTGGAGCACGTCAGAGAGGTGGGGGTGTAAAGTGTGGCTTTGTGTTGTTTCTCACAGGTGCGTTATGATGCAGAAGATGACACAGTGAACTATGAAAACATGAGACCTGCTGCTGGAGTTTGAGCAACACGTCTGCAGATCAGATTCATTCAGCATTCACATGTTTGTTGGGATGTGTTTGTGTTTCAGTAACTTGTCTTTATAACATGTGATAACAATAAATAAAGACAGCGTCATGCTACACTGTGCTGTGTGATTCCTCCATGTAGTAAGAGCTTCATGGTGGTCATTGAATGTCCTCCCTCTTCTTAAAGTATAACAGGGTTTATTAACCTCCAACAATACTAATCTGATCAATACCATTTGAAACCAACAAAAGCTATTATATGATATCCTAATATCTAAACAACAAATAAAACATTCATTCATGCATGTGTGTGTGTGTGATAAGGAGGGGAGCTAGCTGGAAGCTAAGCTACTGACCACATGTCAGGTCACGCGTGGCTACGAGCTAGCAGAGGTGCTGCTAGCAGGCTGTTTGTCTGAATCCTTCATCCCGTCATCCACGTCCAAGTCGGTTGGGGGAAAGTGATCTGAGGAGATCCTGCAGTCTTAACCTGCACCGACCGTCGTCAGTTTGGACAGAGTTTGAAGACGAGGAGCTCACAGTCCACAGCAGATCTCAGGCCTGTTTCACCAAGAGAGACAACTCACAGCTGGGTGCGAGGACATATTCCATGCGGGGGGTTTTATGTTGTATGTCCTGCAGCATAATTGCATTCAAAAGTCAGCCTTGGTTTTATGCTATGATGGGAGCCCAACAACAATAACGGGGCGCCTACAGAAAATAACCAGGGGACTTTAGTGTGACCACGCTGCCTTATCATCTCTAATCTGAAGGTCTTCACACAACAACGGCTGTGATTCTTCTGCTGAAACCGCTCGGTAGCGTCTACGCTTATGAAAGTGAAGATGTGAACAATAGAATGAACGAAGGCAAAGAGGAAGTCCTGAGATCAAAGATCAGATGGAGAAGAGAATAGTGAAAGAAGAAAGTGACAAAGGAATATTTATTGTTTAAAGAAACGGAGGAAAAACAGATGGATGGAGGGAGATGCGATGCGTCTATCTGTGAATGTACTAAATAACCTGCAGCTCGTAAGCAAAAGAAATAAAAGGTACAACGTCTCTCTGATGTAGAACAACACTCAGCGTGGTTACATGGATTCGAATAACTGGCTTAGTCGGACTGAAATGGAATGATCCGTTTCATGTAAACACCTTTGTCCGACTACGTGCGGTCCGACTCCGATCCGACTAACACGCCTGGATAACTCGATCCGATCCAGTTGATAGTTCGACTATTGCGGCATGTAACGGTGAATCGGATGAGGAACTGGACTTTGCGTCTTTGCGCATGCTTGAGATCCCGACGGCGTCTTCTCTCCGTTATCAAATCAGCCAACAGCGCCATTCGCTGTGCTCCTGTTAGCATCATGCACAGATAGTAGAGGGACGTAGCTTCACCTTGCTCTCCGCTCGCCATCTTTCTCGTTATGTTGATGTTGTTGTTGTTGGTAGTGGAGAAGCGGACATGCGGAAATGGCTGCATCACAACTAGTTGTAATGAAAACAGCGCCACCTATCGTACCGGATATGACGTGCTTTTGGCCAATGAGTTGATTTATTCACTGCCTTGTATCTTGGGATAATAGCACCTCCCCCCGAAAGATCGCATAGTCCGACTAAGCAAAGATTCCAATTATACCATCATGTAAACACACTGACTTTGTACTACATGACGTTCTTAACGGAGTAAATCATGTGACTAAATGCTAGATATGTGACATGTGACCTCTGCTGGATATCAGAGACACATCTGAAAGAAGAGAGGAAGGCAGAGTGTTTGTGTTTCAGAGACAACAGGAGGGACGACTCTGAGGGTCTCACTGTCCTCAGAGGACGATGCCTCATAACCAGCGTCCTCCTCAACATCGTCCTCTGTCTCAGACACATGGTCGTCTGTCTCAGACACATGGTCCTCTGCCTCTGGCAGACCGTCCTCTGCCTCAGACACATGGTCCCCTGTCTCAAGACACACGGTCCTCTGCCTCAGACACATGGTCCTTTGCCTCAGACACATGGTCCTCTGGCTCAGACAGACCGTCCTCTGCCTCAGACACATGGTCCTCTGGCTCAGACAGACCGTCCTCTGCCTCAGACACATGGTCCTCTGGCTCAGACAGACCGTCCTCTGCCTCAGACACACTGTCCTCTGCCTCAGACAGACCGTCCTCTGTCTCTGACACATTGTCTTCTACTTCAGTGGTCCCCAACCTTTTTTACGTCACGGACCGTTTTCATGTCAGACAATATTTCGCGGACCGGTCGAGAATGTCGGAAGGGGGGGGTGTAGTAGTCGTTGGGACGGGGGGTGTAGTAGTCGTTGGGACGGAGGGGGGGGGGGGGTGTAGTAATCGTTGGGACGGAAGGTGGGGGTAGGAGTCTGTGTTTCCTGGGCGGCAAAACTGCCGTGCACGGGAAAAAGACAAGAAAAACGCCCCGTGACGCGTGGGGAATATGTCATAAGAGCATAATTAGGAGAAACTCCGGGCAGTTTTCAAAATAAAAAGTTTTTCCAAGGCGCAGATGAAGAACCGTCTAGCCGCTCGGCTCGCGGTCGGTCGGCACGCATGTTCCCCTTAGGAGTCTCTTCTCAAGGCACATTTTAAAACAATAAACTCACGCGTCGCTTAAGTCAGCAAGTTGTGTCCAGAATTCCGATCTTCTCTCGGTGACCGCAGCGGTGTTGACAACCAACTTTCAACCGTTATCAGCAATAATTTAACCAAAACAGGCGCTCAGCGAGCCGGACGAGTCATTTTGGTCTTAATGTGCGGCCGCTTACGAGGCGCAGGGACCGTCTGCAAAGTACGAAGCGTAAATAACCCATTACAGAAATATTCAATACCTCCACTGTTATGAGCACCACCAAAATCATGCCACATGGACACGAGGTTGTACTTGTTGTACTACACCTTTTACTTTGTATAGAAATGGCTTTTGGGTGATTTGTTATGAATAATATTCAATATGTATGGCAAATAATGTTCAATAACTCCACTGAATGAATTGTATCTAGTTCTACCGAAAAGCAAACCGTATATTCTCAATTTCCCAACAACAAAAATTGTGGATACTTAAATTGCTGAGTGGTTAGTAACTTTGGGAAACCACTGGCCACAGTGACCGGTGAGCAAAAGTGTTACCGTCCCGCCCTGCTTACAACCTGTGGAAGTACTTCTAGTCCATGACAACGCACAGAAATACTGTGTGTTTTTGTTCATTGTACGTTTTAACTGTGTGATCTTTTTTGTTGTGCTTTATCCCAAAGCAATCAGTAACCAATCTGTATGAATTATTCAATGAGTTTAAGAGTAATTTTGTCATTTACACTCCCTAAGACAAAATAATATCACAGACATCCAGAAGAAGCTGTGGTGGAGGATGAGTTTGATGAAAAAGCAACAAATGACGTATGAGAGATGAGAGGGACGAGGAAGTGACTCTTTATCAACAAGAGGAAGTAGATTCATCCTTTGTCTTTAAGACGGAAGAAGCAGAGAGACGAGAGACGGAGAGGAACCATGGCTGAATTCAGAGGGATTCAAACCTCTTTGTTCCTGATTCTGATGCTTCAGTTTACAGGTAAGAACACATAGAATGTGTGTATGACTACAGAAACACTAGAAAGATCATTTACTAATATATTCATGTTATTTATGAGCAAAGCTTCATTTAAAGACGACACACAAGTTGTCTGTTTGTTTCCATCCAGGTGAATCGTGAGTTTAATGAACTCTTAGAAACCAACAATGAGGCACATTTGTAAACTGTTGTTGTGTCTAAAATGATCTTCACACTGACACTAAAAGTCATGTTTTATTTCTCCTTGTTCCTTTTACTTCTCTCTCATCTTCTTAGAAGCAGCAACAGAACAACGTCTCACTGTCAGAGATGGAGATGAAGTCACTTTGCCTTGTAACAGTGTGACTGAGGACCAGAACAACTGTGACTCTATTGTGTGGCTCTTCACTTATTTAAGAAGCAGACCACCAGTAGTTCTGGTTAGAAACGGGAAGATTGAAAAAGCCAAAGCTGAATCAGACAGACTGAGTGTTTTACAGAACTGTTCTCTGGTTATGAAGAAGGTCACACGTGGAGATGTTGGTCTTTATGTCTGCAGACAGTCCAGATCAGGACGACGACATAAAGATGCTGAGGTTCATCTGTCTGTTGTTTCCAGTAAGTATTTACATCATAATGTTTATAAACTGTCGTATCAGATTAATAAAAAACATTATTATAATAATGATTTTAGTATTTAAGTTCCTCTTCTTTCTCTCATAATGTCTCCGTCTCCACCAGTGACTGAAGAGACGAACAGAGACGAGGTGACGTTAAGATGCTCTGTGTGGACGTATGAACGATGTCCACGCACAGTGAAGTGGATGAATGGTGGTCAAGATGTGGACAAAGACAAAGAAGTGAAGACATCACGGAATTCCTGCTTCGCCTCTCTGTCCTTTAAGACTTCTCACTTCTTTTACACATCAAGCTTCACTTCATTGAAGTGTGAAGTGACCGATGGAGACAAAGTGATGCAGTTTTCTCCCTCAGGTGATAAAACAGGTGAGAATATTCTGATGTCACTCAAATTTACCTTTTTAATGGATTTCATTTATTTAATTGTATTGTGTTCATTTGTTTAGGTGAAGACACAACAACAACAACAACAACAACTGAAGAGGACACAAAAGGAGGAGACACTACGAAAACTTCTATAATCAGAGAAGCTTCAGCAGAACCACAAAGTAGAGACTCTACATGTTTGTGTCTTCATGTATGTAACACCATAAGTTTTCATTTACACAGAACACAGAACATCTGTATTGTCTTTGCAGTTTGGGTCTACGTCCTTTCGGCCGTTGTTCTTGTTGTTCTCTTGATAATCATCGTGTTTGTCGTCAAATGGAAGATCAACAAAGGTGAGAGAGGAGATGAAACTCAAACACACTTTAAGAATATTGTGTTTCATTGTTTCAGCTTTAAACCAACGATTTGTCTTTTCAGGCAACACAACACAGACGAACAACAACGATGTGAGTTTAAGAAACTGATCCTCACTATTCTTCTCAATTTAATAGCTGAGATCAATATTAGAGTCTTGTAGTAATAAGTGATTGTGAGGAAGAGGAGAAAAGTGCTTAAAACGTATTAATTTAATTCCTTAATAAGCTAAAAACAGCATTACAGAATTCTGTCAGCGTGTGAGAGAACTGATCTGTGAGATGCTTCCTGTCCAGGTGCCGACCGCCCCCCCGGCTGCAGAAGCCCCTCTCACGGTGAGGTCACACGCTGCAGAGACACACATGAGTAAACACATACGTTTGGCCACATCAGCGACAACTCATGTGGGCCCATGTTGTGTACCGGTGGAGCATTACGGCGAGCCGGAGCGCTAATTAGCAGTTAGCTCTGCTCGCTAATCTCACTAAACTTCCATTCCACAGCGGTTAATAAGAGAAGAGAAGAGAATAACCGAATAGTTCATCAACTGTACACAACAGTCAGTTCAGTTTTGAGAGAGAGAATGTGCACCAAATATAAAAAGAGAAGTTAGATGATGCAACAGGAGAAAAAGCGGAAGACCAACCCTCCCCCCTAAAGAAACCCTTCTGTCTGCTGTTAGGATGTGTCCATGTCCCTGAGCGGCCATGTTGTCTCCTCCGTGCAGGCCGGTCCTGAAGACGGTGTGTCCTACGCCACCATCAGCTACACCCAGAAGGCCGACAGTAAAGCCCAGGTGAGCTCTCTGATTGGTTACCATGACGACACACACGTTGTGTTGCACTGATACATTGTGCGCTGTGTTGTTTTGTGTCCTGTGCTGTAAAGTCTGATGATGATGATGATGATGACTGTGCTACACCACTGAAGCTGCTCTGCGCGTCGCACTACATCGTCGTTGTGCGTTGTGTCACCTCGTCCTGTTGTGTAAATCACGTTGTGCGGTTTCCTGTCAGGGTCGGAGTAACCATGGCGATGATGCGGTGACCTACTCGACCGTGAAAGCTTCCTCCGCTGATCCCAGCAACGTCTACGCCAGCATCACCTGACCACACAAACCCAACTAATGTCTGCTTCTCTCTCTATCGAGGGTAAATATGCAGTAAATGTGGACAATATATTACACATTGAGCTTGATGAACCTGCTGTCAGGCCCTTCATGGTGCTCAGAGGTGTAGAAGTCCTTAAGTATTTTGCCTTCTTTGTTGCTAAAACACTTGCTGCCTTTTTTTTTATCTCTGAGAATAATGGATCAAAATAGAGCAATTTTGCTAATTTTCTCATGTTGTCTTCCTTCAAGTTTCTTCTTTTATAGTTTAATATGTAATAATTCTGCCATTTGCTTCTCCTTTTATCAGAATATTCCAAGCAGACGTACTAAACATCTGAAAATGTGAAAACTGAGAATGCAGTGTCTTACCGTGTTAGTGAGAGGGATTTGGTGCTGTGGGATATTAGAAATAAACTAATGACCCGATTCATGAATGAACTATTGATAAAATGCATTTAGTTTACACCAGAATACAGCCATGATTCTGGAACTATGTAATCAATAAAGAAACGTGAGTATTGTAAAACCACTGTAACCAATAGAATACCGACGTACAGCTATGACTGTATTCAATGTAATGTAATTTCTGTAACAGAAATACATGCATGTGATACTTGAGCACCACAAGTGATTTGACTGAGAGACGTTTGAAATCCAAGTTTCATTGACTCACCAACTTTAACTCAATCACCACAGAAGAGCCTGTTGTTTGAAAACCGAATACTGTATAGTTTATCATAGAACATTTAGGTGTGAGTGAAGAAAAGACGATGGTTTGGGGCAAACTAAATTTTAACTGAATTTTTGCTCAGCTTTGAATGGGCGTTGTGATAAAAAGCAGCACATTGCGTGCAGTTTGGTTGTACGTCTTTGCACGAGTTACCGACAACGCTCGGTTGTAACGTTATCTGAATGGGCGTTATGTAACTGATCAGTCATATACGGAATGAATGGGAACCTGGTGTAGAATATTATTGCACTAGTGTTCCGGTCTAGGTGCTTTTATTGTGAAGGAAGAGGTGAAGGAGAGGAAGTAGAGGAAGTGTTCAATGAAGGTGTTTTGGAAGTGAAAATAAAGTAGTGGCCGAAGCAGAACCGAACCACCGTGTTATTGTTTCATTATTAACCCGAAGTAAACCCTCGGCTACACAAGTAAATAGCATGGCAAGTTACACACACACACGCACACACGCACACACACACACACACTCTCGGTCCTTTGGTTCCGGCTGGTTTCCCCCCGCCGTCCTTCCGTGACAAAACAATCTGGACAAGTTCTACTTCTTCATTGTTTTCTACACTCACTCAAAATAGCAGATTATTAAAAATATAACCAGGAAGTTTCAAAGATTTTCACTCTCTTGAAATCCACGAGACACTCAGACAGGAAGTAGATGCTGCGTCCATGTTGAAGGAGCAGCGGGCGCTTTGAGGGCCGAGAGCGAGAGAGAGAAGCACGATGGCTGAACTCAGGTGGATTATGACGTCTTCGTTGGTGATGCTGCAGGTGTTGAGCTGTACAGGTGAGTCTGCAGCTTCTGTTTAACGTCACCAGGAGTCTTCTGAAGCCTGTGAGACGCAATAAAGGAGACGCATTTACAAACACATCTACAATTATTACAACCCTTTGTAGGAACTTTACCGTCATGTTTACTGTATTTTTCTGTTTGCAGTGACCTACATCACCCTGAACCCCCCCCCCCCCGTGGAGGATAAGTTTGACCTTTCACCTCTGTTAGTGCTGTCAAACATCACCATGAATCTGTTTTCTGAGTAACACCATCTGAAGAAAACAAGCTGCTTTGCTGCAAACGTTTACATCTTCAGCAGCAGTCTGCACACCGTTCACACCAAGAAGACGTGTGGTGTTCCCCAAGGTTCAATTCTGGGGCCTCTTCTGTTCCACCAGCTCAGATTACACACCTTCTTCCAGCCACTCCACTGCTAGGCTTTTCCACCTGGATGCAGACCGTCACGCCTTCCAGTGACACCATTTGTAGCCACCCATGCTAATTGGAGCCACCAGCATTGAGATGCCAGCTTCCAGCCATAATTAGCGTTGCCACAGAATCGACCGGCTCTGAAGCAAAAGCGGATGCAAAACGTACCGATGAGACTGGGAAGTTGTGATTTACCACCGCTGGCACGTCGGATGTGTATTCGTCCTCGTTCTTGGAGTCGCGCTGGGACTGAAGAGCAACCTTCTCCCCCGTCGGCTATAACGCCCTCCTCCAAACGTCCCTTATTTTTCTGTATTGAAGGCGGCAACGCTAGACATAATCCTCAGCATTTACATTACATTACATTACTGTGGTGGCGGGGCGTGGTTAGCGCAGCTGCAGGGGGGAGAGCGGGGGAGTGGTTCAGGAGACGTGCCGGTAGGTGAGGAGGAAGCACAGGTGGAAATAATCTGCACTGATTGTCTCTCTGGTAAAAACAGTGAGCCGGATCTGGACGGTAACAGGAGCTGAGCCGAGCCGAGCCGGGCAACAGCGCGACGAGCGGCCTCAATCCTGCCCACTGACCCCTTACAAAATAAAAGACGTATTGCTCTCAACGTGTGTCCGTGCGTCCTTACGGAACCCGACGGTGGCAGCGCGATCAAGGCTACAATTACATTACAGGTCATTTAGCTGACGCTTTTATCCAAAGCGACCTACATTACATTTTTAACCCATGGCTCTTTTACATTTTTGCCCAGGGAGCAATTAGAGGTTAGGTGTCTTGCTCAGGGACACTTTCGACATGGAACATGAGGCAGTCAGGACTCGAACCACCAACCTTGTGCTTCCCAGCACACCCTCTCTAGCCCCTGCGCCACGACGATGTTACATAGTAACGTAACATCGTAGAAAAGAGAAAACTTTCCAGCTGGCCGTAGCAGGAGCCCCTGCCACTGGGATTCCAGGGCCGGTGCCAGGTAGGCAATTCCTACTACCACAGCAGCTTGCTCTAGCCGGTGCACACGGTACCGGGATGGCGGCACCCCCCACTGTTCTCACCCAGCCACCCCAACGACTCGGCGTACCCCTCGGCACCAGGATGCCAAGCTTTCACACCTCCCAGTTGCGCTACACGTGGCCAAGAGTTGGTACTAGAATCCCCAGGAGGCCGCTCGTCCTCGAGTCCATTCGAGACCCATTCCACATTCCACTCGCCCTCAGTCCCTCAAAGTATACCACTGGTACATCCGCTCGGATCTCAAAGATCTTCAAGCCGCTCATCACACCTCACACATTTTTTGGGGGTTGCCCGTGCCCGGGTGCCACGGCGGATCCCCACAACCCATCCGACCGCCACACGTATCAACTTACAAATCCTATCGCTCACATCTCGCAAATAAAACTGTTAAACAGTTCAGTTGGTGCGCGTGGACCTTGCTAGTGAAATTGTCTCTGGTGCTAAATCCAGATGCTTGATGTCAGTGTGAACTTCACACCTGCTCATGTCCGCCTTAAGTGCATAAAAGAAGCAACAAGTGACGTATGAGAGACGAGAGGGACGAGGAAGTGACTCTTTATCAACAAGAGGAAGTAGATTCGTCCTTTGTCTTTAAGACGGAAGAAGCAGAGAGACGAGAGACGGAGAGGAACCATGGCTGAATTCAGAGGGATTCAAACCTCTTTGTTCCTGATTCTGATGCTTCAGTTTACAGGTAAGAACACATAGAATGTGTGTATGACTACAGAAACACTAGAAAGATCATTTACTAATATATTCATGTTATTTATGAGCAAAGCTTCATTTAAAGACGACACACAAGTCGTCTGTTTGTTTCCATCCAGGTGAATCGTGAGTTTAATGAACTCTTAGAAACCAACAACGAGGCACATTTGTAAACTGTTGTTGTGTCTAAAATGATCTTCAGACTGACACTAAAAGTCATGTTTTATTTCTCCTTGTTCCTTTTACTTCTCTCTCATCTTCTTAGAAGCAGCAACAGAACAACGTCTCACTGTCAGAGATGGAGATGAAGTCACTTTGCCTTGTAACAGTGTGACTGAGGACCAGAACAACTGTGACTCCACTGAGTGGTTCTTCATTAATTCAAAAAACACATCAGCAGTAGATCTGGTTACAAACGGGCAGATTGAAGAAGCCAAAGCTGAATCAGACAGACTGAGTGTTTCACAGAACTGTTGTCTGGTTATGAAGAAGGTCACACGTGGAGATGTTGGTCGTTATATTTGCAGACAGTTCAGACCAGGACGACAACATAAAGATGCTGAGGTTTATCTGTCTGTGGTTTTCAGTAAGTATTTACATCATTATGTTTTTAAACTGTCGTATCCGATTATAATAATAATGATTTTATTACTTAATTTCCTCTTCTTTCTCTCATAATGTCTCCGTCTCCACCAGTGACTGAAGAGACAAACAGAGCCGAGGTGACGTTAAGATGCTCTGTGTGGACGTATGATCGATGTCCACGCACAGTGAAGTGGATGAATGGTGGTCAAGATGTGGACAAAGACAAAGAAGTGAAGACATCACCGTCTCTCTGCTCCGCCTCTCTGTCCTTTAAGACTTCTCACTTCTTTTACACATCAAGCTTCACTTCATTGAAGTGTGAAGTGACCGATAGAGACAAAGTGATGCAGTTTTCTCCCTCAGGTGATAAAACAGGTGAAAATATTCTGATGTCACTCAAATTTACCTTTTTAATGGATTTCATTTATTTAATTGTATTGTGTTCGTTTGTTCAGGTGACGACACAACAACAACAACAACAACTGAAGAGGACACAAAAGCAGGCGACACGACGACAACTTCAGCAATCAGAGAAGCTTCAGCAGAACCACAAAGTAGAGACTCTACATGTTTGTGTCTTCATGTAGAATCTCTCTGTGTTTTCATCCCTTCACATTTAATGAATTAGATTATTTATTTATCTTCAATAATTCAGATCATAATATAGGTGGTAATAATGCGGCGACCCTGTTCTCTGAGTCTGTGCGTTTGCGCCGTGTGTCACGTCATCTCTCTCCAGCCAATCACGCGCAGGCAGTGTGCGCGGTTAGCAGGGGGCGTGGTTGGCAGTGTGCGCGGTTAGCAGGGGGCGTGGTTGGCAGTGTGCGCGGTTAGCAGGGGGCGTGGTTGGCAGAGGGCGGCCGTGATTGGTGGAGGACAGACGAGGCGGATGTCCACCTGTCTGTGCTAGAGAGCCAGTGAGGTGCGCTAGAGGAGTTATGTGTTATTAAAGAGTGAGTACAGATAGGGGTGGGTGCCTTCTCACTGCTGACTACGGAAGCTCATTTCCACCACTAAAAGGAAAATTAAAGGGTTTGTAAGTCGAAATT